TTTAAGAAATTTCATTATTTTGGAGCCACCATACCAAATTCCAAATTAGATTATAAGCTCTTTGCTCAGAGTATGCAGCTCCTTCTGGAACTGGTAAGAAACTCCCCAGACTATTCGCTTCGTCCTCTCCGAGCACTTCATGGTTTGGCTCTAACAAACTACTTGGAGTTCCCCAAACGACTAGGCAGTGTCATGCTTGCCTTTGCATGTTCCATTCCTTCTGCCTGGAATGACTTTCCCCACACTTTCCACCTGTACCTGTCACATTCTTGGTGGAAGCTGTGTCTCCTTTCCCCCACCCATCCAGTACTGGGCACACCCTCAGCAGAGTCCGTATTGTGCTGAATGGTGCTGAGAGAATGGACCTCCATGAGGGCAGGGACCATGTCTCCTAATTCTGAGGAAATCCTCCTTCTCTCAGTTGAGCTTTTCCCTCTATCCCCCTCCGCTAGTTGTTGCTGATAGAGCTGGGCTCTCTCCACATCTTGGCATCAAGATTCTGGTACCTTCCCCCAGTGTCAGGAGATCGGATAAACACAAAGGACGTAAATCCCGCGTAGCACTTTGGTAGTGGTTTTTACACTTCTCTGTAACTATGAACCATAGTTTAAATAAAAATTTGGCAAGCCTGGGATGTAAAACCGATGACACAGGAGAAGGGAAGGGTCTGGGGATTCTATAACACAAAAGCCTTCAGTTGGGTCCTGTGGAGTTCTGTTTGGAAGCCAGGGAACTTGAGGACTGATGTGGTATTTCCAGAGAATACTCAACTTGAAGCTTGTTTCTTGTTTGGGAGATCTGGTTAGGATTCCAGTTTGGCCTCTGTAAGTAACGAAGATCAGAATCACAATAACTTAAGCAAGAACAAGATAGAAGTTAATGTTTCACTCTTATGTAATAATTGGTCATAAGCAGTCCAAGGCTGGGCGGCAGCTCCTAGGGGTTGGGGACTAAGGCTCCTAATGGGGTGCTGCTCTGCCATCCTCAGTAGGTGGCCTATGTCTTCCATCTGCACAGCCACATTCCCGCCCGTGGGGCAGGGTGAAGAGGAACTGGAGGGTAAGCCCATTCCCTCTAGGGGCATAGCCCAGAAGCTACACATAACACTTCTGCTCACATCCCATCGGCCATCATTTAATCACATGGCAGGGAGCTACCAGGGAGCCTGGGAAGTACAGTCTTTAGCTGGGCAGCCATGTGCCCCAGTAAAACTTGCGAATTTTAATACTAAAGGAAGAAAACGAGAATGACTATTTGGGGACAACTAGCAGACTTTGCCACAGGCAGCGGCACACCTAACCCTGGAAGTTGCAGTGCAAATGCCTCAGCCTATCATCGAATTAATCCACCATTTATTGGACACCGACTATGTGCCAGACATTGTCCTGACCTTGAGATTCAAAAATAAACAACACGCAGTTTCTTCCGCCAGCCTTCTCCCTTGGAGTCTAGAAGGGGCAGGCAGATCACTAAACACCTAGGTTGGGGTACTTGGGGTTTCTGGGGCAGCTGGGGGTGGTCTGAGTTGGGGCACATGGGAGAGGTTGGCAGTGCTGGAAAGGTGAGTAGGTATTTACTAAGTAGTGGCCAGTGGTGTCCTCAGGACGCCAAAGCATCGGAAGCTTGGAGTGAGCCAGGAGCACAGGTGAAGACTCGGCCGGGACCTGTTTTCCATCCTGAGGGCTTTGGACATCACCCTGTGGTGATGGGGCTGAATGGGGAGGTGGGAGGAAGAACCATTAATGTCCCCACGTTCTGACCCCAGCTTGATTGTCTGGCCTTGTGGTCACTACTCACACCCTGCTCTCCTGCCTGGCCTTAGCACCTTGCACTGTTGCTTAGGTTATGCTGTTCCTCAGCCTGGCTTGCCCTTCCTTCCCTCCGTTGTTTGCTAGTCCTGGTCCTGCTCATCGTGTAAGGCCCAGTTGAGAGGTGTAGTCACTCTGAGCCGTAGTGCTTCCCCGCTGAGAACTCATTAGCTCTAGTCCACAGTCTTGTGAGAGTGGTGGTATGGTTCTGATTTTTTAAATGAGGGAACTAATGCTTCAAGAGGGTAATTAATGTGCCCTTGGTCCCATGGATAGAACAGGCGGCAAGGGTCCTGGTCTCCCAGGGCAGCCATTCTCAGATGCAGGGGCAAAGGGGTCTTGTAGCAGGGAGGCCAGTGGAGGGTGGGGTCATGGGTGCGACAGGGAGAAAGGAGTCTTCAGCTCAGGTGTAGAGATGCTTTTGTCCCCCAAAATCAATGAGGTTAAATTATTGGACCAAAGTCATGGAGTGCCAGACTGGGAGTTAGATCTAGGATTCTGAATCCCAAATTCTATTTTATTTTTTTGGAATTTAAAAATATACAGAAAAGTAGTTTAACATAGATTGATAATCTTACCTCTCTGAAATAACCACTATTAATATCCTGACATATTTATGTCTATTAATAGTTTTTAAAGAAGTGCTACAATTTTTCCTAAAAGTAACATAAAATGATTCTGCTCAATGTAAATAATTTAAACTCCAAAGATGAGAATTTAAAAATTATTCCAAATCCTATCATTCAGAAATTCCTATTACTTACACCAAGTGATAATCATTTCAGGCATCTTCATATCGACATAGACAGATGTAAAGATAAACATTCAGATACACTTCTGCAAACAGTGATCATAGTCCTGTCCAGTGTGATAGCCACTAGCCACAAGTAGCTACCGCCCGACCACTTGAAATGTGGCAGGTTTGAGTCAAGATGTGCTGTGAGTGTAAAATATACACTGGATTTGGAAAACTTAATATGAAAAAAGAATGTAAAGTATCTCATTAATATTTTTAAAACATTGACTACATGTTGAACTGATAATATTTCAGATATATTTAGTTAAATAAAATATGTTATTAAAATGAATTCCACTTGTTTCCTTTTTCCTTTTTAATATGGCTATTAAACATTTTAAATTATATATGCTGCTTGCATATATTTCTGTTGAATGGCATTGCTGTATTATTATAGTAAGTATTAATAAGCTTATTAATTAGTATTAATGGCAAAAAGGAAACTAAAGTGAATCTAAAGGAATCGTCAAACTCTAAATAAATGGTTCCTCATCAATTCCTAAGTGTCCACTAAAATTTAAAAACATTTTTGAAAACCAGTAAAAGATTGGAATGATTTTTTTTTTAAACCAAATGGTACAGTGTTTTGAAAGAGGAGGACAGGGCATTCTGGAGCTCCTCTCAATTTTTGATATGTTATTATTTTTGCATTATATTGGTTTTCAACATTCATATTCTGACCTATAGCTATAATTCTTGTAGGTATTTAGTATTCTGTAATTAGTGATTAATTGCCTACATGGCCTTCATTTCTGAGTCTTGGGTTTCTTTATTAGGTGGCTTCTCAAGAAGGGCTCATGTTCTGGAGGACGTTGCTTGTTGCTTTCATACTTGACCGGTGTTCCGTCTCCTCGGGTTGCACTTTGTGTCTCTGTCCGCTCTGCAGACATCGCTTCCTTGTCTTCTGGCTCTGGACGCTGCTGTGGCCTGTCTGATTTTCTCTCTGTCTTGTGGGAGATTTGCTTTCTCTTCTTGGATGTCTAAAGAATTCTTGAGTTAGTAACTTAGCTCTCTGTTAGTGTTTCTTGGCTCTTCCCAGGGCTCTAGGTCTCATCTCTAAAAGATTATTTTACTTTAGGCTTCCCAGTGCACAGACAGAAACACTGCTGAGACCCATGGATTCAGCAGTTTGGGGTCTATTGATCATAAGACATGGAAAAGGTTCCTGTTCTAGCCCTTGGCCTTTGGTGGGCCTGCTACCCAGACTCTCAGTGGGGTCCCTGGTAATTATTTTTTGAATTAATTTAAAATTGCGTATATAATAGGCAAATCTATTCTCCTTTCTAGGACCAGAATGTTAAAGATAAAGCTAAAGTCCATTTGGCCACGACCTCCAGTTGAGGTCACCTCCCCTGTAACCCAGTGCTAACTGCTCTATCATGGGTTTGAGATATATCCTTCCGAACTTTTTAAAACTGATTTTATATTTTAATACAATTATGTTCTGTCCCATCACAGAAAAATAAACTTAGACCATGCTTATGCTGCTGTATGAGTTATTTTGGATTTATTAAGAACAGTCTGGGTGTGTGGATTCCAAAGAGCTGCTCCTGGAGTGAGCTTTTTATTCTAATTAATGAGCCAACACAGATGTCAACAAAGTTATGGTGGGGTGCGGTGGCTCACGCCTGTAATCCTAGCACCCTGGGAGGCTAGGGTGGGAGGATCACTTGAGGTCAGGAGTTCCAGACCAGCCTGAACAGGAGTGAGACCCCGTCTCCACCAAAGATAGAAAAAATTAGCCAGGCGTGGTGGTGCACATCTGTAGTCCCAGCTACTCAGGAGGCTGAGGCAGGAGGATCGCTTGAGCCCAGGAGTTTGAGGTTGCTGTGAGCTATGATGACGCCACGGCACTCTACCCGGAGCAACAGAGCAAGACTCTGTCTCAAACACACAAACAAACAAAAAACAAAGTTTTAAGTAGTGTACTCTCAGGAATAAAATCTTCATGCCAACAATCCCAGATATTAGTCTGTATAGTTTTGACTTTTAGACAGAAACAGACTGTGCATTCAGGTCATTTTGACACAAAGTTGTTTTAAGAACCTGACTGTACAGACATTCTGCCAGCTCATATCCGTGTCCAAGGCCACAGAACACAACAACCTAGGAGATTTTACTGCCTCACTCTTGGGAAATACATAATATTGGGTTTTGTGTGTGTTTTATAAAGATCATATTGAATATATTAGAAGACAACTTTGTCTTTTTTTCTCCTGAACTTAAACTTGCTCCGTGTTAATATGTATCCATCTTTCTAGATCAAATAAATGTATGACAAAGGAATGACTGAATGCTTAAGCCAGCACCTGTTTGAGTACATACTACTGGAACATTATTTACTGATGAACAGAATTCACTGCTCGATGGTGCGCACCTAGATCCTGTCTAAGGTTATGAGGTTCCAGAAGGGCCTTGCTGGGGGCCTGGAGCTGGAGCGTTGGGGTATGGCGGTCCTGAGGTTCTTGAGGGGTTTGCAAACACAGACCATTCCTTGCTCCCATTTAGCTTCTCACTTTGGTTTTGTAGATGACATGGCAGAACTTCTCCTCGGGGAGTCAAAGCTGGAGCAGTACCTGAAGGAACACCCCCTGAGGCAGGGGGCCAGTCCCCGAGGCCCCAGGCCCCAGCTGACCGAGGTCCGCAAGCATCTGACTGCCGCCCTGGACCGAGGGAACCTTAAGGTATTGGGGCCTCTGGGACGAAGTGGGGACAGAAGGGAGATGCTGGACCCATTTGCTTTGGACAGTGTGTTGAGAAGGATGAGAAGGATGCCCAGGGACGAACTAGGCAGCGTTTGGAGCTCATCTGCACACTGCCATGGCGTGTCTTCGTAAAGCAGGCCAACCCCATGCGATCAGTGGGTCAGCTCCTAGGCTGGCCAGCCACCTTGTGGGGCTAGTGGGGTCCCACATCCTCCTGAACAATGGCACTGATCTCCCCAGGTGCTCTACACAAAGCTGTCCTATATGGCCCAGAGCTCAATCTGACACTTTGCCCTGCTCTGGAAAGGAGAAGTTAATCAAAAGCTTACACATAATTTCCTGCCTAAATCATGTGGTGCATGAATGTAAGATTCCACTCTGACCCAGAGCTGTGGGGGTTTCATACTGGTTCCCTGGGAACCAGGAACTTCTGTGTGTCTGAACAAGGACACTAATCCTGTGGTGCAGGGAATCTTAGGCTCTGTGCCACTGTTTACGCACTCTGTTTTCTAGTCTCCACTACGGTCAGGTTTCCTGTCCCTCACCTGCCTTTCCTTTCTTGCTTCCTGGGAATCCCCTTTCAGCTCCTTTTGCCTTTCACAAGGGCCAACCCTCTTCTGCCCGCCCTGCCCCTCCTCCCTCCCGGGTGGCTCACCCTTCCCGGCTCTGGACCCTTCCCCACCCCTGCCACCGTCACTCCCATTCAGATAGCTGCCTGCACCCCAGCCCTGCCCGTCTACTTTAGGGCCCTTTTTCTCCCCACAGGATGTACTTCCCACTGAGGACAGTCTTCGGTGAACTTCTGAAGCTCCGACTTCCTTTTCCTTTCGATCTTTCGTTTTTCTTCTCTTCTTGTCTCAGAATCCTCTGGCTACGTCTTTGGTCTTTGGTCTTTATTCTTATCTTCTTGTGCATATTTTTCCCCAGAGAAGCCATGTTTTCTTTGGCTTTACCTTTTGTATCTGTATTAGACACTCAAGCCTGCTCCCAACTTGCTGTGTGATCCTGGGGAGGTCACTTCCCTGTGTGGGACTCAGTTTCTGTGGGTTTGGTTGAGGTGGGCTTTTGGAAGGGTGAGCGTGGACCTTCCCAGCTCCTGCATGCCCTAAGCCTGTGAGCTCGTGAGCTTTCATTCTGAGATGTTCTTCCTCTTTGTTCTCTGGCCAAGTCCTTGGCCCTGCTGCAGTTGAGGGCTGGGGCAACATTTGAATAAGTTAGTATTAGTGTCCATCAGTTGTGTAGCAACAGGCTGCTGGAAACCTGTCCGAGAGCCACCTTTCGGAATGGTCTCTGTGTGTGTCTGTCTGCACGGGGCACAGGTCCAGGTCCTGGGAGGCTGGCTCGAGAGCATCACTTTCACATAGGAAGCCCAAGTTCTTTTTTGGGGGGGGGACAGAGTCTCACTCTGTTGCCGGGCTAGAGTGCCGTGGCATTAGCCTAGCTCACAGCAACCTCAAACTCCTGGACTCAAGCGATCCTCCTGCCTCAGCCTCCCAAGTAGCTGGGACTACAGGCATGCACCACCATGCCTGGCTGATTTTTTCTATATATTTTTAGCTGTCCAATTAATTTCTTTCTATTTTTGGTAGAGACGGGGTCTCGCTCTTGCTCAGGCTGGTGTCGAACTCCTGAGCTCAAACAATCCGCCCGCCTCGGCCTCCCAGAGTGCTAGGATTACAGGCGTGAGCCACCGCGCCCGGCCAGGAAGCCCAGGTTCTTAAGAACTTGCTGATGCCAAAAACCAGATCCTCTCTAAGGGCCATGCCACATTTGGTTCCGAGTTAGAGAACAAGTGTCTCCATGTCAACTGTTCTTAACCAAGGAGAATCTGGTGACACAGGTGATGGGTCTTGGTCAGCAGGAAAAAGTGGAGGGACAGGCACATGGGTCACAGTGACGGCTAGTCAGACTCGGGCATCCTGCCGGGAGATGTGAGAGTGACTGCATGTTAGGGGGAGACATCTAGATCATTTCTTTCCCACTTCCAGCACCCCCAAATGAAATTAACCTTTCATTTCACCCATTGCTTATGGTTTTTGCTGTCCATCGTCTACAAGCCAGTGTGGTAGTAAGCACATTGAACTGAAAATTAAAATTCTGGATTCCGAGTCCCAGTTTTGGATTAATAAGTGTGATCTTGGGGAGTTAATCTCTCTGAGCTTCGTGTTTCTCAACTATAGGCCTACTTAGCTCAGGATTGTTTTAAGGCCCAAATGTGGAATTTCTTTGAAGGATGTGTAACACTAGATACGTATCATTTACTGCTGTTTGATTGGTTCCATCTGGAGAGTTTTTCTCCCATTGCTGGTTTTCAGCCTCCTCTATCCTGTAAAGAATGTTCGAAAGTTGCACAGCTTTTGCATGGGTGTGTTGCCTCACTCCTCCTGGCTAATGTGAAACTTCCTCTTGCCTTGACCTCAGGTCTAGCTTGTCTCGGGTAAGGTGAGGCTGGAAAGACCAGGGTCAGCTGCAGTGTAGTGCCATAGAGAGTGCCCTGGACTGAGAGACCTGGCTTCTGACTCAGGACAAGAAAATGGAGTTTGTCATGAGCAAGGCAGCCCCTGGACCGCGTTGGGGCTGTCCTCCCACTACCCGGGCAGCCCAGTGGCCTTGGCCAAGCCGTTTCCTCTGCTGTAAGATGCCGCAGATTGGACTTGCCCAGCAAGGCTCTCCAAAAGGTGGCTGTAGGCTTGTAATTTTCTTCAAGCTTATTTTCTACCTGGCTCTTAAGTTTGCCTTTTTATTAAACTTATTTTCTTGTGGTAAAATATACATAACATAAAATTTAACATTATCACCATTTTTAAGTGTACAGCATAGTAGCATTAAGTATATTCACGTTGTTGTGTAGCCATCACCACCTTCCCTTTCCAGAACTCTCTTCATCTTCTCGCACTGAAACTTTGTGCTGCACCCATCAACACCAAGTCCCCATCCCTCCTCTCCAGTTTGCTTTCAAGCCAGTGGTTCTCAGGTGCCGGAGGGCTCGGGGAGGAGGGAAAATCTTGTAGATTCTCCTACGACACCTTTTCAAAATGACCCCTGTGGTGAGTCCTTTTTTTTTTTTTATAGCTTTTTCTCTTTACTTAAATCTGCTTTGATTCTCTGTCTCCAAATATAATCCAAATTTCTTACATGGATGCCTCTCCCTTGGGCTGATCATAAACACTTTTTGCCCATCCTACTGTCCTCTCCAGTGCTGCCTGTCGTCCCTGCTCCCTTCCAAGAAATGCCTGGAAACTCAACAGCTGCTTCAGCGTGCTCTGCCCGCTCACCTGTGCCTTGTTGCCCACCCCATCAAAGCTGTAGATTACAGAATAAACAGTGCGGCTTCACGGAGTGCTTCTGTGAGCTGAAAAATGGAGCCTTGGATAGCCTGGGCTCCGAGGAGAAGGCCCGGGTGAGGGTGATAAATCTTTTCCTTACATAGGTGGCTGGGTGGCCTCTTCTTACCACAGGTGATGAGGGGTTGGCGAGGGAAAGGAGAAGATGAGGCAGGGGTGTAGGGGGGTGTGGACTGGGAGGAAGGAGAGCCCGTCAGAGCTGTTACAGCCCTCAGCTTCTGGGGAGGGGACATGGGGCTGGTCACTTCAGTTTAACAAGCTTGAATGGCTCAATGAGAAAAGTTTGCCCCAAAAGAAAACAAGTCCTGATTTTTGCACCCATTTAGGAAGCCTTTCCTTGGATTATTTGGGTTTCCGTCTTGTGGTACATCTCCAGGGCCCTAGCGGGACCCACTAGGATGTCTGGGCAGCTTCCTTTTCTGAGACAGGTGCTTAAATTTAACTCCTGAAGCATTCCTTCCATCCTTGGCCCAGCCCAATGCCGAGGCCTGAGGGGAGCTGCAGGGTTTATGTTTTGTTTGGGTTTTTCGCAACAGCTTTATTAAAATATAATTCACATGCCATATAATTTACCCAAAGTGTCCAATTCAGTGATTTTTGGCATATTCATGAAACTGTGCAACCACCACCACAATCAATTCTAGAACGTTTTTATCACCCCCAAAAGAAACCCCGTAACCATTAGCAGCCACCTCCCCCTCCCCCATTCCTCCAACCCTAGGCAAACACTAATCTGTTTTCTGACTCTATAGATTTGACTGTTCTCGACATTTCATATAAAAAGAATCACACAATATGTGGCCTTTTGTGACTGGCTTTTTCTCTTGCTGTGATGTTTTGGGATTCCTCCATGTATCAGTACTTCCTTCTTTATTATGATGGAGTTAATATTCCATTTTATGGCTAGCTCACATTTTGATGGACACCTAGGTTGCTTCCACCTTTTGGCTGTTGTGAGTGATACTGTGCTGTGAACATTCGTGGACAAGTTTCTGTGGGGGGGACTGTGGGGTTTTACAGCAGCAGATGGCCAGGCCCGAGGGAGCATCATGCATAATATTGTAGGAAAATGGCTTTTTCTCTCCTTTTCCTTCTAGTCAGAATTCCTACAAGAATCCAGTCTGATCATGGCCAAATTGAATTATGTGGAAGGAGATTATAAAGAAGCTCTGAACATTTATGCCCGGGTGGGCCTCGATGACTTGCCGCTGACGTCCTCCCCTCCGTACAGGCTGCGGGTGATTGCAGAAGCCTACGCTACCAAAGGTGAGGTCCGTGCTTTTCCCCTCAGTGTCGTGCTCTTTGGGGCCGGCGGAGCCTCCTGCTTGACCCCTGGCCCGGGGCAGTGCCCAGTGAGGGGCTGGGGTGGGCCCCGCTGCACCTACTGGGTGACGTTAGGCCCAGCAACACATGGTTTCCTCAGAGCCTCAGTTCTTTGATTATCACTGACGGAAATGAGGGAAAAACATTTCAGCAAAGTTTCTCGATAATTAAT